GCAAGCCCTGATTAACAACCACGTTTGTGTTTGAGGTCATGATATTTGTCCGTCACATGAACAGTCAGATTTAGATCCGTCCAAAATCCTCCTCTCCCGTTTTTGGCCAGACCGTGACCTCTGCGTCACTCAGGGACGTTCCTCTGTGACTTCCTTTGTAGGTGTGTGTGTGTGTGGCCTTGTCTTTCAGCTGGGAGCTCCTGATTGTGTGACACCCATGTGCGGCAGATGAGACGGCCTGTCAGTCAGCTGTGGCCCGGCTGCCCTTTGAAGGCCAGGCCAGGGGGCGAAGAGGTGCCGCAAATGGCCTGTGAAGTTTACATACACTGCCCACTGCTAAACAGATTAGCTCTAATGAAGTGTCTAATGTCGGGGGCACTGGCTGACATAATCCTGCCTGGCAGCCCGGCCCCTTGGCTGCCAGAAAAGCCGCCCTCCCTCCAGCCCTCTCTTCCGCCCTCGCATGGCCTCTGCTGCCACCCAGGGCGACTCCACACGGGGAGGTGCCCACTGTTAATCACGCTGGACAGTGTGCGATCTGACATGCAAATGTAGGTCATTGCATATGTAAATGTGTGATTACGAGGCTGGCATGCCAGGACACATTAGCAAGACTGTGCTCTCAGCAGGCGGTTGTCACAGCGCTTTAGAGGCTCATGCTAACATTTGTCAAGCTACCACGCAGCGAATGAAAGCAATGCCCTCTTGTCCTCCCAGCTCCATCCTTTGCTCTCTCTCCCTCTCTGTCCATCCCACTGCAACTTTGCATCAGTGCTTCTGTCACATTATGCAAAATCATCTCCCAATATGGTTGCATATTCAGCGCAACACACCTTGGAGATAATAATGAGTATGTATCGGTTTAATTTAACTAACTCTCCATAAAATGTATGGATATAGATCTTTCAGTCAGATGTCAGTGTTTTCCGTGTTGTCGTAGTGAATCCTCGTAGTCCCTCCTTTAGACGTACGGTTGTGTTGAAGGGTTTGTTGTGGATTGTGGAAGAGTGCATCATCTGTGAGTCCTGACAGCTCGGGATGACGGCGGTGTCATGCTGAAAAATGCACACACCTCAGTGGTGTTAATTGGGCAGGGCATTTGATTGGCTCGCGCCTCTTCCTTTGGCTGTCAGCTGCGGAAAAACATTGAAACGCATGAATCGGTGCCCCCCCAAAAAAAAATAAATCATCCATTCTAGTGTTAACAATCCAGTTTGATATTGTGCTTCTCATCATTGTCTGAATTTCATGCCTTTTTATTCTTATTTTACTTGTTTTTTTGCAGAAATGATTTTTGGCCTTTGAATAAATTATTTCAGGTCATTTCTTTCTGATATATTCGTTGGCTTTAAGTGTTTTTTACTTTAACGATACCTTGTGCCTCTCTCAGGTCAGCTGCATCGTGTATGTTTTTCAGTGGGTGCCCACTGTAACTTTGTGTAGAGCGAACAGCTGTAATGACACACCCTTCCTGTGTGTTTTAGCACCCAGCAGATTCATTTTTGACCCTCTCCACCTTTTTATTTCCCTCCCCTCGGTCCTAGGTCACTCGCCCCCTGAGCTGCTCCCACAGCAGCGCTGGTGACATGCAGCATTCTGATATCTGTCACCTTGTGTTTGTTCCTGCTGACGCCTTTTACAAGTTTACCAAAAGGCTGGAAAGGTCACACAGCACGCTATGTGTATTATTCACACATTATATCCAAGGGGCTCATTCTGGTTTATTTTTGAGTGTTTTTAATTGCGGAGGTGAGTGACTCAGTAGGTACAATCACTCACGCAGTGAGGAGAGGTGTGGAGTACTTTGTTCTGTGGCCCAGTGCCAGACTGTCAGTGATGGGACTCGACAGATGAAGGGAGAGGATTTCACGGGTGCTGTTTGATCAAACACACAAACAGAAAAAACACTTGGATTAAATAATATGAAGCCTATATTTACGTGACTATTTTCCCGTCCTCATTGGAAAATAGTCAACTCACCTTTGCTCTGCTCTGTTTTTGCTACAGAACAGCGTGTTAGCCTCCCTGGATGTTGCAAGGTGTAAGTGCACGGTCTAATACAATATCATGTTACTGTAGTAATAAAGCATTACATTTGGCATACACGACATTAGGGCTGCCACGATTAGTCGACTATCAAAATCGTCAACGACTGATTTAATAGTCGACGCGTCGTTTGAAGCTTTGTAAGATCCTGAAAGAC